TTTTGTCACCAATCTTCCGGACTATAAGCCACAAAGAAGCCATATCACACAGTGATCCATCACTTCAAAAAGTCATACCACAATCTCGATAAATTCTAAAGTTTATGCGATTAAATAGAACATTCACGGGAACGATATTTCAATCAGCAGGGGAGCCGTGACTTATTTTTTACCATGGTAAAAAATAAATAACTAAATACCGAACTCGAGGGTAAATTCAAAAAGGGGGAAGTCCATAAAAACTGACAAAATCAAACGTTAGACTATATCAACCAACGTAATGGAACGTAATGTTCTCAACCCAGATGGCTTCAACAGAAGAAAATTAATTCGTCAGTCATTTGATTTAATTATTTTTTGTTTGTTCCATGAAGATAAAGGATTAAAATTCAAAATTATATTCGCGCGTCTGGCGTACAACATTTTAAGCCTGGATATATGATGAATTTATACTGATATGAGTACAAAGTTATTTCAGATTGTGTTACTTCATTTGGAAAAAAAATCCACAATTTTTGATGAGCTGAAATATTAGCTTAAGAAAACATTATTTCATCGTATATCTTTATCAGTATCGAAACACAAATCTTTATACACCTTATTGCTCGTTAGTCCAAACCGGGAAAAACAGTTACTTAGACAACTTCCTGTTGAGGTCAAGCGGAACAAAAGAAAGGTCATCAGCAATGAGCTGAGGGAAGAAAAGGTTTGGAAAGTGGAGATTTAAAAAATTTTATAGTATAAGAAGCAATTTTTAAAAGACATATAGAGTCATCGAAAATGCTTTGTTTGATGTGTGTACGATGGTTTAAACATATCTCTATGAAAAGTTCAATGCGCAATACATTGAACAAGGCCCCAGATAGCTTCAACTGGTTTGAAAAGTGGTGTAATTTTAGACCTTGTCCGGATAGGAATAAATAGCGATAAGGTGTTACTGTATTAGAATATGGTTTTTTGGTATATATGATAGCCTATGAGACAACTATCCACCAGAGTTCGAAAAAAGCCCAACATACGGATTCAACAATGAAAAAACACACCGTATAGTCGGCTGTAAAAGGCCCCGAAATGAAAATATTTGTTTTAGCCTAGTTTGTTTAGTATCGAGATTTCCAGACGATCCCATACCTGGATGCTCGTTTCATTTTAAGACTATATATAGATGTTATATAGTTGTAAAGGACAGCATGTCTGTTGGATCATATGATCCTTAAAATTGATGTGATCTTGTTTTTGTTTCGCCTAGGAAGAGTGTCGCAGAATACAAAACACGGGGATGCTAATTTTGAACGCGTATATTCCATTGAAATTGAAAATAAAAGACTCAACAGATACAGTTAACTCTATCACATATCTTGACTTACATCCAGAAATCGACGATGAGGGTCGGTTTAGAACAAATTTTACGACAAAAGAGATGATTTCAGCAACCCAATTGTAAATCTTTTCATTTCTATGTAGCAACATTACAGCAACGCCTGCATATCTATACTACTCAAGGAAGAGACCGATTTCATTTAGCCGCAACTCCTCTGAAACCATACAAAGTCGGAAATATTGATGATATGACGTATACATGTGGTGTTTTCTACTTCTCAATTTGTCTTTGCATGCTCAGTCGACGTACTGCCAGCGAAATTTAAAAACTCCTTTGTTTTTTTGATTTCAGCATCTTCTAGTGGAATATATATCTCCTAGTTGATACAATATTTCAGATCTTGAATTTTCTTTCAGAATTTCCTTGATAGTGGGTTACTGCATACCGCTATTCAATAGTCATGAATCGATTCAACTGAAACAAATCTGGGTAACAATCCAAAACCGAGGGAAAGGCATCAACTATTAAAGGAAAACAACGAAACAACATAAACACTGAACTGCTACAAAAACAAACGCCAACATACATAGAAACGGACTATTTGATAACAACTGCCATATGTCTGACTTGGTATATGACATTTGAAGAAAAATGGTGGGTTGAACATTGGTTTTAAGTAAAATGATAACAAAGGGACAATCAATCTCAAACCATGAATCAAAGTAACTTAGATTAAACCATTAAATAAAAAATTAAAGTTCAACAGACGAACAACAGTCCACAAAACACAACACAGCATGAAAACGATCACTACCTAAAACAGCGAATGATCTTATGACGTCAGGAAGGGTATATACCTTTTTATTTGTTTTAAAACACAACTGCTTATAATATTTTACATACATGATGACCTGCATTTGTATTTTAAAAGCTTATGTTAAAAACACTAAAAACATCTTTCATTCGAATAAGTAACGAACACATTTAACATGTCTAAATAAAAAAGCAGCAGTATTATATTTAGTGTGTTAACATCACGCAAAAGACAACCACGTGTTTTTAAACGATGGTAGTCGCAAAGTCATGTTTGGATTTAAACATGTCTTCAAAAGGTAAATAAGTTTGACTTCGTAATAACCCATATTTTTACCTCAATTCGCTCTTTTATTTCTTTTCGAACTTTAAATACCCCTTCTTTTATTATGGAAAAATATTCTCCTCCCTGATATTGTCAATTAGCGATGTGCTATCTTAACATAGAATAACAAAATGATCGCTATTTTGCAGATGGCAGATTTTTTGGCAACTGCAAACACTTCAATAGAAGGCTGTTCTATGAACAAAAGTTAACTATTGCATCTTAAAATTATAAAACAAATATTCCTTGACCTAAACAATATACATTTATCTATTTTTTGACCATACAAATATCGATCCCCAAAGATATATTTTGCTTTTGGAACATTATTTTCATTTATTTAGGATTTGTTATGAATTTCAATTTTCGGGAAATATTGCGCAACTTACCTCTTTATTTTTGTTTGATTAATAAATAATTTATCGTGTTTTATAAGGTTCATATGATGGTACAAGAACTAGAACATGGCGATTTGTTTGATAATCGCAAAAAAAAAATGGAATGTTTATTCATGGCTTTTTGACCTGGATTTAACAGAAAATGCACCGTACGATTTTTTTACGACCGGGCAAAACAGAAAGTACAGATAATAAGCTTTCGGATGATATATATAGATTATAACATGGCATTTTTCATATCAGACCCCTTATCAGCCCGAGAGCCGACAGGCTCGAGGGATGATTTTGACCATGGGCTGATAAGGGCTCTGATATGAAAAATGACATGTTATGTTCTTCTTATTATATACTTCAGCAGAAGCCATACAGACATGAACACTTTTTTAAAACTTTATAAAGTTCATTTATTGTATTATTTGTTTTGCGTTTTTTAATAATATATTTTCCTGTTTCCTAATATTCCTTCTGTTATTCTACTTGGCTATGTTTTTCACTTAAATGTACCACTGAGTTTTATTTTCCGTAATTTGCAGAATGACGTCGAAATGCTTTGCGATTACGTTAAAGAAAGGCATGCGATAATAACCGGAAGCAGTTGATATAAACCGGAAACAGTTGATATATACCGGAAGCAGTTGATAACAAAAGTCATATCACACGGCTAAGATAATTCTTCAAATTTATTGAATAAATATATGTATAAATTAGTTTTATCAAGGGGTACAATTATACCATTATTTTCTACAAGTATAATTATGATAAATAATACAGCCGTGTGTTAGGTGGTTGCATTAAAGTCGTTAACTAAGCGTCTTTTTGAAAAATTTCACTCGCCTATAATGGGAAAAATCTAGATCTAATCAACAAGCAATACAAAAAGATGCTGAAGCAGAGGCCTGAAATTCATAAAATGGCATTAATTTTATTTGGCAATATATGTAGATCAGGGAAGAGTTCAATGGAATGGAGAATTGCAGAGAGACAGCTCAGTATTAAAATCATGAGAAGTAATAGTTGGTCAGTCATAATTGAAATAAAAAAAGCTATGCCTGAAATATGACATTGATGATCCGTTATAGTTTTCTTGGCATTCCGTTATCCAAAATCTTATGGAAAAAATTAATATCAACAAAGGTTAATGACTATTGGGAAGAACGTATTAACAATGAATCTAGAATGTATCCTATATTATCATATTTGGAAATGAGTTATACGGTAGGACAATATCATCCTATAGCAAGAACTGTAGATGCAAACATCAGAGATATTTCGAGGATACCAGTACGGCTAAAAATTGCTACTGGTACATACATTCTCCAAACAAATAGAGCCGCCTTTAATCAAAACAAAATAGATGTAGTCTGTATGCTCTGTAATTGTAGTGAAGAGACGCTTGCTTATTTTCTGCTAGGCTAGCTGTACCCGGCTAGAATATATACGTAAAGATATTCTTGAAAAGATCACCAATACTTGTAGCTTGCTATTTGCTAAATACAGTCTATCTGTAGAAATAGATCTTCTAACTGTTGTAGTAAATCCTTATGCCTACTGTACCACCTCAGCCAGAGACATATATACACAGAGACATATATACACATGTGTCTCTGCCTCAGCACATAAACATGATAAAGAGCTTACTAATGACATTAATATTCATTTAGAACCTCTGTGCAGACATCTTACATATATAGATTGCACCATAAGCGATACGAATTATTGAACATTATGCCTAAAAAAAAGAATAGAAAATGTGGTTTTAAACATAAGTAAATGCTATAGTGTACTGAGTCAGATCACCTATTCATGCTATTGACAAAAGCCAATATACAAATCATGATCTAAAATGCAATTTTACAATATTACTTTTAGATTTTAAGATCGGACATAATTATTTTATGTGTGGATAAAGAACTTTTATCAGTGTATATAATTCTTATGGATCTAGTGTAAAATACTGGTGGAGGATATTCAGTGTATATACTTAATATTTTAATCATACCGTACTCCGGATTCCACAAGGTGTGCCACGTTATAAAGTCTGGCAGAAGTTATTTAGGCCGAGGAAACCAAGGCCGAAACGTCTTGTTTCCGTTATTTACAGATAGATAGATAGGTAGCGGAATCCTCTCAGGTTTACCGATTGGGTCTTCTGAGTTATTTCGTTTTTCGTCTTCAGCGGCATGGCGTCATGTCTTTTAAAGGAACCAGACTCAGAAACAGAAATGGCTAGACGCGAAGCTTCCAAGAAATGTCCAGGGTTGTATAGTTATTTGCCAAAGGTATCCCGCTGGGAACGATATCACGTAGAAAACGTTCTTCACATTTACTATGAAGAGAATAGTAGCGAACTGTCGGATGTTCTTGAGAAAATCCCCAAAATAAACAATTTAAGCAGTCAGCAGAAGAGATACATCGAGATTTTGAAAAACACAAATTTTGGTCCTAATATCGGACTTAAAAGAACAGTTTACGAAAACTCAAAGACCATAAAACTTCTCGATGAAGCGTTGAAGGAGCTGAAGGCCAGCATTCCTATAATCAACTCAAGGTATTTATAAAATACTATTATTAAAGAATCCATGCCCGTTCGCCCTGATTCACATTCGCCCTGATACCTGATCGCCCAGGGTCCATTAGCTCTGATTTTATTTTTTCTTCTTATTGCTGTCAATTGCATAATGTTTAATATCTGCTGAATCGCAACCAACATGACTTGGGTCGGTCTTTTCACCACCGAATACCACCGAACACCCCAAAAGACCACTAACCCTTAAGAAAAACAGTATTGTTACCCAATAAAACATTGATTGATTGATTGTTGGTGTTTTAACGCCACATTTGGGCTATTTCGTGGCGGCCAGTTTTTATTGGTGGAGGAAGCCGTGGTGCCCGGAGAAAACCATGACCTTCGATAGGAAAACTGACAATCCTAGTCAATTAAGATTGGAGTCGAGTGCACCTGCTCGAGCGGGGTTCGAACTCACAACCTCAGTGTTGACTGGCTAGTGATTACAGTAGTAGAACTACTTAGACCACTTGGCCACTGAGGCCCCACAATAAAACAATAAAATCGATTAAATTACGTAAAATTTAATCCTATTGTCATGTTTTTCACATTTTTATGGGCATTAGTGATGTTAAAGTTGAGAATCAAAATAAAAAAAAAACACTTCCGGATCCAGCAATATTTTTTCCAGATTTACATTGTCTGTATTTCATTGTATATTATCTTATGGTCTTTACTTTTCAATTATTAGAAATAAATCATTCAAATAAGTTAAAACATTTTATTTAATGTGAAATTATCACAATAATTATATTTGAAAAAATGTTAGACTTGAAATGTACTGTTCTGACAACAGCCCTGCAAGACTGTTCTTTTTGGTTCTCTTGTTATCATTTCTTATTAATTTGTGTATACATATATGTATAAACATATTCATCCTCGTTCAGAAGGTTGGTCAAATATATAAATAAAGATGAAAACAATATATTTAGGTGTGTTAGAGGATATTTTAATGTGTGCGGTGGTGTTCGGTGGTGAAATGACTTATTAGTTTCCCTTTGATTTGCATAGTAGAATATATTTATTGATACATGTATTTGTTAACAAAAAAAATCTATTCAGTTAATTTATGCAGTATAACTGAGACTACTATAACATGTATTATAGTAGTCTCAGAGTCATGTGTTATAGTAGTCTCAGAGTGATTGCTAGTCATTTCGTAACCTGGTTGTTTCGTACCTGGTCGATTGGTAACTACGAGACGTTTCGTACCTGGTGTGATTATATATGGTAATAATGTAAAAGTGCGTCTCTATTAGTTTGAATTAATTATTTTAAATCAAACAGTTCAAGAAAATATATATATAAATTGATTTAACTAGTTTTGTCTCTAGAAGTGTATATATATCTCTTGGAATTATCTATATATGATTATTGAAGCCAAAATAAATTGCTTGTCTTTTGTTCTTGTCATTATTTAAAAAAGATCAAAATGTGCATCTAATAATAACAATATTGTAATAATTTAAAACTATGTAAAATTATTTAATTCTTGGCGAATTTGCGTGAGGTGCAAAAATTTGTACAATTAATGTCTCTTCAGTGATGTTAGGAATCGAAACGGTATTTGGAAGTCCATATAATTTACCACAATTTAGGATAGACTCTTTAATTTTGAAGAGTCGAAATAAAATGAACGGATCATATAAACCCGAAGGTAAATATAATACAAGCCCAAACGAAAAAATATAAATAAGTCTAAATTGAAAACAACGTTCAAACCTATGATTACGTTGGATAAAAACCGCAATTTTTATACAAAATATATATACATCAATAAATAGATTTCAGAAGATGTGGTATGAGTGCCAATAAGTCTTTTTATTATTTTTAATCGAAACATTTTTTCCATAACCTACAACTCATATCATGATATATAATTGTTATAAGGTTACGAAACGTCTCAGTTACAAAACGAACTAGTTAGTTATGAATCGACTAGGTACGAAACGACCAGGTTACGAAACGACCTGCACCCCTCAGAGTATAATAATAAATGAACTTGTAAATCCTATTCATGATTTACAATTCGTACGGTACATCATTGTTTGTATTACCGGGTTAGTTCTAAGCTGACTAGTTTATCAAAACAAAACATTGGTTGGTTATTAAACCATCAAAGTCGAAGTATTAAAACAATCAGTGAGAATCATTATGTCATTGAACAATTAATGCTTCAAAACAAGCTATCAACTTTTAAATATTCCCGTGATGGATCTGTTTTCATAAATTTCTAGAATATATACCATATACATGATATAGACATGATAGATATCTGAATAAGTTTATTAAACTTTAATGTCCTTGATATTTATATATTTTTTTTAAAAGTAGGGAGAATGAAACTAGGGCGAACTGTACATGTCTCTATGGGGGAACAAACTCAGGGCGAACCGACCCAGGGCGAACGGACCCGATACCACTATTAAACATTAAGGACCATACAGGTATAATCATGAAGGTAGTGCAGGGCGCCTTATTGCATCCACACCTCAGATCACATAATGAAAATTTTGATTTTTGAAAGCTTTTCACTATACCTACCAAATTTCATATGTTACATGCCAACTACTCTTGCTTAATAGTTAATAGTCCTATATTTATAACATAATTATATAATGGTGAAAGCAGAAAAAATGGAGCTTTTTATACGACCGCAAAAAAATTTTTGTGGTCGTATATTGGTATGACGTTGGCGTAGTCGTCGTCCGAAGACACATTAGTTTTCGCACTCTAACTTTAGTTTAAGTGAATGGATCTCAATGAAATTTTACCATAAGGTTCATTACCACAAAAGGAAGGCGGGGATTGATTTTGGGGGTTATGGTACCCACAGTTAAGGAATTAGGGGCCAAAAATAAGCATTTTTGTAACTTCCAGACATAACTTGTGTGTAAGTGTATGGATCTCTCTGACATTGTACCACAAGGTTCCATATCACAAAGGAAATGCTGGGATTGATTTTGGGGGTAATTGCCTCCAAATTTTAGGAATTAGGGGCCAAAAAGGGGCAAAAAACAAGCATTTTTGTCGAGCCTGCGACTTTTGTCGCAGAAAGCTTGACATAGGGATAGCGATCCGGCGGCGGCGGCGGCGGCGTTAGCTAACTTCTTAAAAGCTATATATTTTAGAAGGTGGAAGGTCTGGATGCTTCATACTTTGTATATGGATGCCTCATGTTACGAAGTTTCCGTCAGTCACATGTCCAATGTCCTTGACCTCATTTTCATGGTTCAGTGACTACTTGAAAAAAAAGTTAAGATTTTTTGTAATGTTAGATTCTCTCTTATTATAAGTAATAAGATAACTATATTTGGTATGTGCGTACCTTGCAAGGTCCTCATGCCCGTCAGACAGTTTTCACTTGACCTCGACCTCATTTCATGGATCAGTGAACAAGGTTAAGTTTTGGTGGTCAAGTCCATATCTCAGATACTATAAGCAATAGGTCTAGTATATTCGGTGTATGGAAGGACTGTAAGGTGTACATGTCCAACTGGCAGGTGTCATCTGACCTTGACCTCATTTTCATGGTTCAGTGGTTATAGTTAAGTTTTTGTGTTTTGGTCTGTTTTTCTTATACTGTATGCCATAGGTCTACTATATTTGGTGTATGGAATGATTGTAAGGTGTACATGTCTAGCGGGCAGGTGTCATTTGACCTTGACCTCATTTTCATGGTTCAGTGGTCAAAGTTAAGTTTTTGAGTTTTGGTCTTTTTTTCTAATACTATGTGCAATAGTTCAACTATATTTGGTATGTGCGTACCTTGCAAGGTCCTCATGCCCGTCAGACAGTTTTCACTTGACCTCGACCTCATTTCATGGATCAATGAACAAGGTTAAGTTTTGGTGGTCAAGTCCATATCTCAGATACTATAAGCAATAGGTCTAGTATATTCGGTGTATGGAAGGACTGTAAGGTGTACATGTCCAACTGGCAGGTGTCATCTGACCTTGACCTCATTTTCATGGTTCAGTGGTTATAGTTAAGTTTTTGTGTTTTGGTCTGTTTTTCTTATACTGTATGCCATAGGTCTACTATATTTGGTGTATGGAATGATTGTAAGGTGTACATGTCTAGCGGGCAGGTGTCATCTGACCTTGACCTTATTTTCATGGTTCAGTGGTCAAAGTTAAGTTTTTGAGTTTTGGTCTTTTTTTCTAATACTATGTGCAATAGTTCAACTATATTTGGTATGTGCGTACCTTGCAAGGTCCTCATGCCCGTCAGAAAGTTTTCACTTGACCTCGACCTCATTTCATGGATCAATGAACAAGGTTAAGTTTTGGTGGTCAAGTCCATATCTCAGATACTATAAGCAATAGGTCTAGTATATTTGGTGTATGGAAGGACTGTAAGGTGTACATGTCCAACTGGCAGGTGTCATCTGACCTTGACCTCATTTTCATGGTTCAGTGGTTATAGTTAAGTTTTTGTGTTTTGGTCTGTTTTTCTTATACTATATGCAATAGTTCAACTATATTTGGTGTATGGAAATATTTTATGATCTATTTGGCAGTCACGCAGGTTTTATTTGACCTTGACCTCATTTTCAAGGTTCATTGCTCAGTGTTAAGTTTTTGTGTTTTGGTCTGTTTTTCTTAAACTATAAGCAATAGGTCAACTCTATTTGTTGTATGGAAGAATTGTTAGCTGTACATGCCTGCCTAGCATGGTTCATCTGACCTTGACCTCATTTTCATGGTTCATTGGTCAATGTTTAGTTTACTTGGTTAATGTTAAGTTTATTTGACAGTTGTCATGGTTGTAATAAAGCTTTATATTTAGGACTATCAACATAATATCAATGATTAGTAAAGAAGGCGAGACATTTCAGCGTGTGCACTCTTGTTCTAGTTTCATGACAATAACTTGTGTGTAAGTGTATGGATCTCTCTGACATTGTATCACAAGGTTCCATATCACAAAGGGAATGCTGGGATTGATTTTGGGGGTAATTGCCTCCAAATTTTAGGAATTAGGGGCCAAAAAACAAGCATTTTTACAGTTTCATGACAATAACTTGTGTGTAAGTGTATGGATCTTTATGAAATTGTACTACAAGGTTCCATATCATAAAGGGAATGCTGGAATTGAGTTTGGGGGTAATTGCCCAAAAGGTTTAGGAATAAGGGGCCAAAAAGGGACCCAAAATAAGCATTTTTCTAGTTTCCAGACAATAACTTGTGTTCAAATGTATGGATCTCTCTGAAATTGTACTGCAAGGTACCATACCACTAAGGGAAGGCTGGGATTGATTTTTGGGGGATATTCCCTCAAAATTTTAGTAATTAGGGGCCATAAAAGGGCAAAAAAACAAGCATTTTTCTAGTTTCAGGACAATAACTTGTGTGTAAGTGTATGGATCTTTATGAAATTGTACTGCAAGGTTCCATATCACAAAGGGAAAGCTGGGATTGAGTTTGAGGGTGATGAATCATAAGGGGGTTCAAAAAATTTGGGGGATTTTTTTTCCTTTTTTTTCTTTAAAATTTTCCATTTTAAATTGGTTATTTCTGATTTATATATAAACATGATAAAAGCAAATAATAATGATATTGTTTGAATAGGTAAATTAAAAATTTTTAAGTTCTTAGACCACTTTCATTCTGTGTGAGAAACCTATGCTGTGTCAAATATTTAATTACAATCCAAACTCAGCGCTGTATCAAGCTTGAATGTTGTGTCCATACTTGCCCCAACTGTTCAGGGTTCGACCTCTGCGGTCATATCAAGCTGCGCCCCAGCGGAGCATTTTATTACGTATTGTGGTGTATATTTTTTTTTTTATAAGATCTATGATAATAATAAAAATGTCCAAAGAACCAGTCTAATATCAGCTAACTTGCTGCCAAATTTAATTAAGATATATCTTTTACCAGCAAAAAGTTCTGTTCCAAAAAACATGTCGAATTTGTCAGGAGTGTGACAAAAAAAATTACAATGTTTTGTAAAAGTTGTTATGATGAATGCATGCTAATAAAGATGGCTCATAAGTATTCTTCAATTAAAGGCAATATAAGATAGGTGTACTGACATACATGACATAAGAGGTCTCTAAACACATTAGCTCCAAATGGAGCTTTCGTTAGTAGAAGCCAGATTAATTATGTGTATCAGCGGAGGAAAATGTGAAAGTATAATAATATAGTATATATGCCTATACACGTAATTAACAGCGCCTGGTGATGTTTCATAGCCTGACCGGTTTCAGTCCAAAAAGGACCTTCATCAGAGGCAGAATGGTGGATTAATGTTTGCACCCTATTTATATAGATATGGTAATCGGTTCAGAGCTCCATTTGGAGCTAGTGTGTTTTGCAATTGTTTCTCCATAGGCGGTAATAGTAACGTTTTCTTCTGTAGCTCAGTCCTTATCGTAAACTTGGATATGTATGATGGCTCGTTTCGAAGCTAAGACATTTTCACATATGTGGTTATATTTTCAGGGTACGAAGTGAGATTACTTTTTCCGTAAATTAGCATACCCGAAAATACTTTCATGATGCGACTCCTTGTGGTTAAAAATCCCTTTTTTTACACAATAAGTTCTTTGAAAATTTAATACTTTGAAAACATTTAATAGCTCCATAGTTTTAACACATTTATTCTATGTTCCTCTACTTTGCAAATCAACACAAAGGGTTAAGCTCAGTCACTTGTTAAAAACAGAAACATGTCCAATATCACTACACAGAGATTTTTTTGTTTACACACAACTTTTGAGTTCCTCATTTTCAGGTGCATTAGGGATATTGACCCAGATACATATTTATCCACTGGATAACTCTGATCCGCCGGTTACCATATCTATATAAATAGGGTGCAAACATTAATCCACCATTCTGCCACTGATGAAGGTCCTTTTTGGACCGAAACTGGTCAAGCTATGAAAAATCACCAGGGGCTGTCAATCATGTGTATTGGCATATATACTATATTTTTATTCTCGATAACAGATTTTATAGATTTTAGATTTATGTTATCATTGACCTTTTCAACTAACACATGACTTAATATTCATCTAAAAAAAGTTCAAGTTTTGGTAATCAAAACATTCTATATGTAAATATGAACCAATAAAATAATAAAAACGACATATGCATCCAAACGTTTTCCTCAGAATGGTGGCGCTCCTAGTAAATCGATCAAAACTGTCACAGAGCATCGTGAACATCGAAAAAACCCATTGTTACTACCAGAATTTTCACATGTACCTTTTCTGATATATAGTCTTACCTGTCTGAAAGTTTAAAAGCCATTGTCCCAGTATATATATTCATTTTCTCAATGTCGGATATTTTTATTGGCTGTACAATCGCTTGCAAGTTTACTGTACAATCACTTGGAGCTTTCCTGAACAATCGCTTGGGCAACTTCCTTAAATACATTACATGTACATATGCTTATCATTGGTTGTTCCTTGTCTGTCCTATTATATTCATCTATCATGTCTATTGTATTTGAAATAAAAATGAGCACAAATTCAGTCATTTTGCCGATTAATATTCTATCAAGGAAACCTTTTAAGGTGTCTATATCAGAGAAAAAATCAACATTCGAACAATAAGTATACAAGACAAAATAAAAGGACAGTACAAATGTAAATAGTGCTCGTACAAAAATTAATAACCGAAAAGGTGACTAGGTGCTCCAAAAGGGTAATCATATTTTGAAGTTTACTTAATTTATTAATCCCAATAGTATAAAAAAAAAAATAATACATACGCATATTAACAATACATCGAAGAATGGTTCATCAGAGGACCGGGATATTCTAACTTGATGAAGGCATTGGAATGTGGAATGGTTGTAGCTATTCGCGGAACAAAGAAAATACACGTATATGTCAATAAACATGATATAAAAATAAGAAGATTTGGTTGAATTGCCAATTAGGTATCTGTTTATTACCCCCAAAAAAAGTAAAATCACAAAAATACTGAACTCCAAAGAAAATTCAAAACGGAAAGTCCCTAATCAAATGGCAAAACGAGTCAAAAACTTAAACACATCAAACGAATGGACAACAACTATCATATTCCTGACTTGGTACAAGCATTTTCCTATGTAGAAAATGGCGGATTAAACCTAGCTTTGCTACTGGTGGTACAAAGCTCTCTTAATAATAAAATGCATCAAGGATAAGGGGTTTGAATTGTTATCTAAAAGACAAAGAAAAATACAAAATCCTTATATTTTATGAATTTCTTCATAATAATAAGCAGTATCACCCTCCATTAACTTTTGAATATATATAGAAAATGGATATATTTGGGTTTCTACTGGGACAATGGCTTTTAAACTTTCAGACAGGTAAGACTATATATCAGAAAAGGTACATGTGAAAATTCTGGTAGTAACAATGGGTTTTTTTATGTTTATTTGACATTTTTTATCGCTGTTCTGTGACAGTTTTGATCGATTTACTAGGAGCCCCACTATTCTAAGGAAAACGTTTGGATGCATATGTGGTTTTTATTATTTTATTGGTTCATATATATACATATAGAAAGTTTTGATTACCAAAACTTGAAGCAGAAACGTTATATATAGTAACATTAGAGTTCATCAAAGTTTCCATCAAGCAACTTGTTATTTTTTCAATGTTGAGGCCGTGCTTGACAGTCTCCCGAATGACCAAAACATTATAAAACCGTACAGTTCCGTTCCCACACTGTGGAGTTTTGGATACCCTGATGCAGTGGAATTATTCCTACTATAAATGCAACAAATATTTTTCAATTTTCTGGTGAAAGTTTGGTGAAAATTTAGGTCTGACATAGTTCAGAAGGTCAAGCATTAAATTTATGTATGCTGGGGAACCTTTGTCCAACAAATTGAAAACATTTCAAAAAGTGTGTTTAACATGCTTAAATGACAAAAATATTTGTGATAATATGGCATTATCGTAGTCCATAGACATTTGAAATGACATTTGGTTTTTGTGCAATAACTTGGGTATTAATTAATCATTTAACCACAATCCAAATTTACAGATATATCAAGCTTGTATATCATTGTATAAAAGTGTCTAATACTTGCCCAACTGTCTAGTATTTAACATCTACAATGATCTATGAATTTTTATCAAACTATTCATTTTAGTGATTACCATTGATAATAATAAATTTTACTGTATTTCAGTTTGACTTCTGAAAATGGATCACTTATATATATCCGAATGAGGGATTATATCACTGTACTTAGATGGTTTGTAAATACCAGTTACCAGACATCAAAGACTTGTGCTGAAAGCCTTTTCAAGACCCCTTTTATTTCTGAAGAAACATACTCCAGAATTGTATCAGCATTTGCAGCCATGTGTGGATTACGAGTTGAGTAAGTTGTCATGGTTCATGTGGGCGTATTGATTGAAATGCATGGTGAAATTCAGATTTTGATAAACACAACGATGCAAGAAAAACGATTGACTGAATTGAGATTTCGTGCACAGGCACTTGTTTTCTATCCATGGCAAGATCAACTATCTCTACATGTATTTAAATCAACATGTTGAGCATATGAATTTTAATAAAAATCAATGAGTGTGCTTTCTTTGTTACAAGACATGAGCTGCAGCTGTGCAGTGGCAAGTGCCCCACCAGTGGTATTATTCATATATTTCAAAATCAGTCCATCCATCTAGACAAAATAATTTAGAACTAGTCTATTGTTTTATTTTTTTCATTTTTGATACTTTCCTCTGTAGTTTTAATCAAAGTACTGAAGTACTGAACAGTGGATGCCCTCATGTTCTGTTGGGTGATGAATAAATGACAGGGAATTAAATTTCACTGTAATACTGAAACTAATAAGTGATATTACACAAAATGCATCATCTTGCTTGCTTGTTTGCTGTTTTAAATATATTATATCTGTTGCAAAGTGCTGCTCAGATCATCTTTAATAACTCTATAGGCAAACAGGTATTTATTGTATGCCAATATTCTATTCAAAAGATAGTGTAGTGTAAGAGCATGTTGAACACCCTCCTACAATAATTTGAGGCAACCATATTTCTATACTTAAAGAGCTGTTTTACTTAATACATACTAGTATGTACAAATGTACTATGCAACTAAAAATATGACAGATTCAAAGAACTGTTAAATGGCATTTTTAAACACTCATTTTTATATGACCGCAAAATTTGGTCGTATATTGGTATCACGTTGTCATCATCTACGTCGTCCAAAGACATTTGGTTTCCGGACAATAACTTTAGTATAAGTAAATAGAAATCTATGAAATTTAAACACAAGGTTTATAACCACAAAAGGAAGGTTTGGATTGATTTTTGGGGTTATGGTCCTAACAGTTTAGGAATTAGGGGCCAAAAAAGGGCCCAAATAAGCATTTTTCTAGTTTCCAGACAATAACTTGTGGTACGTTGTTTGAATCTCTCTGAAATTATACCACAAGTTTCCATATCACAAAGGGATGGTTAGGATCGACTTTGGGGGGTTATGGCTCAAATCATTTAGGAATTAGGGGCAAAAAAGGGGGAAAAACAAGGGTGTCCTGGTTAATGGACAATTTAAAAACAGTGTAAGGGAGGTAATCCAAACACATTTAAAGTACAATGTTGTGTATGTTTGGATGTACCTCCCTTACACTTCTGTTAAATTATGTATAAAGAAATGTTGTATTGTCTTGAGGTGATTGGCTGTCAATTTATTTTTAGAAGTTACTATTATTAAAGGAATATTAATTTTAGCCATGATTATGTATGTCATTTTCTATTTTAAGACTTTTATGATGTATTAAAATTGGTAATTATGGTTGCAAACTCCATTGGAAATTTGAATTGAGATTATGACCATATCTTGAGGGAAAGAATTTTTTTTTTTTTGGAAAAGGAGGGGGGGGGGGGGGGGGGGGTCGAAAAAGAAATTGTGAGGGGGGTGCGGGAAGGGGAAATTGTCTCATTTCAGATTTCAGAAATTAAAAAGAAAATTTCTTTAAATATATTTTTTTTTTGCAAAAAAAAAGGGGGGGGGGGGGGGGTCAATTCGCAACAACATAGAGTATTGCACAAAAGCAAAAAATAAAAAAATTGAATGTAAATTCAAATCATATAATCAATTCTAAGTTCTTTGACTACAGTTATTCTGTGTCAGAAACCTATTATGTGTCAAATATTTAATTACAATCCAAATTCAGACCTGTATCAAGCGCGAATATTGTGTCCATTTTTGCCCCAACTGTTCAGGGTTGGACCTCTGCAGTCGTATCCAGCTGCGCTCAGCGAAGCAATTTATTACACTTACCGTAATAGCTAAATAGAAAATTTTTTCATCCCATTTTTTCTCAGAAACTGCATAAAGCTCCCAGATTAGGTATCAAGGTTAATATTAGTGAGTTATACTGTGTGATGCATTTTCAGATTCATCACTCAACAACTTCCTGTTTACCAAACACTTACACATTTTACACTAAATAGCCAAGTAGAAAATTTTTTCATCGCATCACTTCTTATAAACTACATAACAAGGCTTCCTGAAATTTGGTATCAAGGTTAATATCAGTGAGCTATACTGTGTGATGTGTTTTCAGATTTATCACTCAACAACTTTTAGCGGGGGTATCATTAGTGAGCAGTAGCTCACAGATTCACTTGTCATTTCTTTTTAAGCATATTTCCATTTTGTTTTTGCAACTCCTTCTGAACCAATTGATAAATCTTCATGAAACTTTTAGAGAATAAGTATTGAGGAGCTCTCTTAAACTTAATTTTTTGTATATACTGATGTTTATGTATTGTGCTTTTTATCATTTTAGAAATGGTACTGCAGATAATCAGGCTGTATGGGATAATTTGAGAGGAATTGGTAAATTAGTTATCTCAAAGCCAGACTTTAGATTTCATTGTACAGGAGAAGACTTTTCTGATGTTGATAGTAATTTATTAACTGTTATAAAGGTATTTTCAATTTACTAGTATAAACATTAACATGCTAATATCTTAAGAACTGCTTTTTAGCTCACCTGGCCTAAATATTCTCTGAACTACTGAGCCAAATACTTTAAAACTTTAACAGAATGTTTCTTAGGGTATCTAGTTTATAAATTGTATCCAAATTTGAGATCTATCAACAAACATGGCTGCAGTTGCTATAAATAGAACATAGGGGTCAAATGTAGTTTTTGGCTTATATCTCAAAAACTAAAGCATGTAGAGCAAATCTGATATGGGGTAAAAATGTTCATTAGGTAAAGGTCTATCAGCCCTGAAATTTTCAGACAAATTGTAACAACCCATTGTTGGGTTGCTGCCACTAAATTGGTAATTTTAAAGAAATTTTGCAGTTTTTGGTTATTATCTTGAATATTATTGGAGATAAAGATAAACTGTAAACAGCAAAAATGTTCAGCAAAGTAAGATCTGAAGAGAAGAATCTTCTGATATATGTTTTTATCACCAGAAGTCTCAAGAAAATTCAAATTTAAAAAGTTATCAGATTATGACAGATAGCAGATTTTACCAATAATTTTTTATGCCCCCGCCGTAGCGGAGGGGCATTAAGTTTTACCCTTGTCTGACTGTATGTACGTACGTCCCTCCTTACTTCCCAAAGTCGGTTTCCATTCTCTAACTTTAGTTTGCCTCAACCAAATGTTATGAAACTTATACGCAATTCTTATTACTACTAAATACAGATCAAGTTTGTATTTTGGTGGCGTCACTTTTACCGTTCTAAAGTTATGCTCCTTTACAAATGGAAATATTGCTAAATTTTTCGTTTCCATTCTGTAACTTAAGTTTGCCTCAACCAAATGTTATGAAACTTATACACAATGCTTATTACCACAATATACAGATCAAGTTTGAATTTTGGTGGCGTCACTTTAACCGTTCTAGAGTTATGTCCCTTTATTAATGGAAAAATTGCTAAATTTTTATTTTCTTCTAAATATCAAGTAATTTTAAAATTGGAGTTATCTTCCTTTGTCCAGATTATAGTTGAATCAACTTCAATCAATGCTTTATACAATGCAATGTTTAATTTTGACTTCCACTGATAAAACACAGATCAAGTTGAATTTGGGTAGTGTCACTTTAACCATTATTGAGTTATGCCCCTTTATAAATCGAAAGATTTCAAAATTTTTAGTTTCCATTCTGTAACTTAAGTTTGCCCCTACCAATCATTATGAAACCTATACACAATATTCATTACCACAAAACTAAGATCCAAGTACAAATTTTTTGTTTCTGTTTTCTAACTTTAGTTTGCCTCAACCAAATGTTATGAAACTTATACACAATGCTTATTACCACAAAACACAGATCAAGTTTGAATTTTGGTGGCGTCACTTTTATCGTTCTAGAGTTATGCCCCTTTACAAATGGAAAATTGCTGAATTTATCGTTTCCATTCTCTAACTTTAGTTTGCCTCAACCAAATGTTATGAAACTTATACACAATGCTTATTACAACAAAATACAGATCAAGTTTGAATTTTGGTGGCGTCACTTTAACCGTTCTAGAGTTATGTCCCTTTATTAATGGAAAAATTGCTAAATTTTTATTTTCTTCTAAATATCAAGTAATTTTAAAATTGGAGTTATCTTCCTTTGTCCAGATTATAGTTGAATCAACTTCAATCAATGCTTTATACAATGCAATGTTTAATTTTGACTTCCACTGATAAAACACAGATCAAGTTGAATTTGGGTAGTGTCACTTTAACCATTATTGAGTTATGCCCCTTTATAAATCGAAAGATTTCAAAATTTTTAGTTTCCATTCTGTAACTTAAGTTTGCCCCTACCAAACATTATGAAACCTAAACACAATATTCATTACCACAAAACTAAGATCCAAGTACAAATTTTTTGTTTCTGTTTTCTAACTTTAGTTTGCCTCAACCAAATGTTATGAAACTTATACACAATGCTTATTACTACAAAATACAGATTAAATACGAAATTTGGTGTCGACACTTCTACCATTCTTGAGTTATGTCCCTGTATAAACATAAGAATTGCTGAATTTTTCGTTTCCGTTCTCTAACTTTAGTTTGTCTCAACCAAATGTTATAAAACTTATACACAACCGATCTAGAGTTATGCGTGTTTACAAATAGAAAAATTTTGCTGAATTTTTAGTTTCTGTTCTCTACTTAAGTTAGCCTCAACCAAATGTTATGAGACTTACACACAATGCTTATTACCACAAAACCCAGATCAAGTTCAAATTTGGGTAGCGTCACTTTTACCGTTCTTCAGTTATATATGCAAGCGGGGGCATCATCTGTGTCCACATGTGGACACTATCCACATTTATTTGTTTTTATGACAATAAAGGAGTCCAGGGGTTCCAGCAGTTCTCTGCCCTACTGAATATTTTATTTTTATCAAATATGTTTTTTCTTTTAAATAATATTTTAGTGCTATCATATTGGTTCGGTTGTTGTCTGCTCTTTGGTTGGGTTGTTGTCTCTGACATATTCCCCATTTCCATTCTTAATTTTATCACGTCGTCGTCGTCGTTCGAAGACACATTGATTTCTGGACAATAACTTTTGTTTAAGTGTATGGATTTCTATGAAATGTTATCATAAGGTTTATGACCACAAAAGGAAGGTTAAGATTGATTTTGGGGGTTATAGTCCTAACAGTTCAGGAATTAGGGGCCAAAATGGGGCCAAAATAAGCATTTGTCTAGTTTCCAGAGAATTACTTGTGAAATGGTGTATGGATCTCTCTGAAATTATACCACAAGTTACCATATCACAAAGGGATGGTAAGAATTTGCTTTCGGGGGTTATGGCTCAAAGTGTATAGGAAATAGGGGCAAAAAAGTGGGAAAAACAAGGGTTTCCAGGTTAATGGACAATAACTTAAGTACAAAACATAATTTTAAAGCAGTGTAAGGGAGGTAATTCAAACACATATTGTCAAATTACCTCCCTTACACTGCTTGTTAATTATTTATAAAGAAATGTCTTGTCTTTAGGTGATTAGCTGTCAATTTATTTTTAGAAGTTACTATTTTAAAAATATTTAATAAAGGTAATTTAATTATAGCCATGATTAGGTATGTGAAGGAATTTTATTTTTAGATATTACTATTTAATGTTGCTAATGGAAGCTTTTTAATTTTAGGCATGATTATGATGTCATTTTCTATTTTAAAAATTATTTAATTTTAGCCATGATTATGTATGTGAAGGAATTTATTTTTAGATATTACTATTTAATGTTTGCTGATGAAAGGGTTTTAATTTTAGGCATGATTATGATGTCATTTTCTATTTTAATACTTTTATGATGTATTTTAATGGGTTTTTATGGTTGCAAAGTCCTAGCTGTCAATTTATCTTTAGAAGTTACTTTTAAATGCTGATGAAGGAATTTTATTTTTAGATATTACTATTAAAAGTTGCTGATGAAGGTTTTTAATGCCCCCGCCGTAGCAGAGGGGGCATTCAGTTTTACCCTTGTCCGTCTGTACGTACGTACATACGTCCCAAAATTAGTTTCCGTTCTCTAATTTTAGTTTGCCTCAACCAAATGTTATGAAACTTATACACAATGCTTATTACCACAAAACACAGATCAAGTTTGAATTTTGGTGGCGTCACTTTTATCGTTCTAGAGTTATGCCCCTTTACAAATGGAAAATTGCTGAATTTATCGTTTCCATTCTCTAACTTTAGTTTGCCTCAACCAAATGTTATGAAACTTATACACAATGCTTATTACAACAAAATACAGATCAAGTTTGAATTTTGGTGGCGTCACTTTTACCGTTCTAGAGTAATGCCCCTTTACAAATGGAAAATTTGCTGAATTTTTAGTTTCCGTTCTCTTACTTTAGTTTGCCTCAACCAAATGTTATGAAACTTATACACAATGCCTATTACCACAAAACTCGGATCAACTTTGAATTTTGGTGGCGTCACTTTAACCGTTCTAGAGTTATGAGCTATTGATGTAATCTCCATATTGATTTTCATAAATTTCAATTATGACATTGAGAAGAAATTGAACTTTATTTGTTAATAGTCTGACAACAGATTTACTAAGTATTGCGCAACAGCATAGTGTATTGCACAACAGCAAGAAATCTTTAATTGAATATAAGTTCAATTCATATAACCTATTTCAAGTTCTTTGACTACATTTATTCAGAAACCTATAATATGTCAAATATTTAATTACAATCCAAATTCAGACCTGTATCAAGCTTGAATATTGTGTCCATTTTTGCCCCAACTGTTCAGGGTTGGACCTCTGCGGGCGTATCCAGCTGTGCTCAGCAAAGCAGTTTATTTTAAAAGGGTTCATATTTTTTTTTTTAGATTTTAAAAATTTCAAATTTTTGAAAAGTTTCAAAAGAAATCTTCAATTGCACAGTATTGCGCGTTAGATTTGTAAGATCTTTGACAACATTTATTTTGTGTCAGAAACCTATATTATGTCAAAAATTTGATCACAATCCAAATTCAGATAGTATCAAGCTTGAATATTGTGTCCAAATTTGCCCCAACTGTTCAGGGTTGAACACTGCGGTTGTATCAGGCTGCGCTCAGCAAAGCATTTTATTGTGAGTTTATGCAGTGTTTACATCAGGCTATGTTATCTGCCAAATACATGGTATGACGCAATGATATAAGGTGTAAAAATAAAATAAATCTTCATGACGACAATTTTTTTGGGGTAGTAAACATCCTATGTTTTAATGTTTAACACCACAGAACCTCTCTCAGAAAAATTATCAGTTTATAGGCAATATTGGAGTTGATTTTTCATTCAATTTGTTACAACCTTGTGTAAAATACCGTAAATTGGGTTATTTTGGTTGTAGTTTTATTTTGGTTTATTTGGTGCCTCCAATGAAAGTGCCAAAATTAAACACACGAAAATAAACACTAAAAATTGAAACGCAAAAATCGCGTACCAGTATGACAATATCGTAATGTTAATTGTCGGGGAAAATATTTAATGTCATATTTCCTACAAGTCTATACATAGCCAAATCTGCAAAAAAATAGCTGGTTTAATTTGACAACAACACTATAATTTTACTTAATTGTCAATTTTCTGAAATTGTTAAGAAAACACAACATGAATTTTTTTTTCACACATGTCATAAATAAGTCAGGATATTGCTGATTAGACGTCGTTATTGGTAATTAGAATATCAAAACTCCTTGTAATCCTTTATCTTCAATTAATTAACATGTACTGCCAGAGGCATAAGGATAAAAATTTAAATCCTTGATCGTCAATAGATTAACAAGTACTGTTATAGAGATGATTAAAATTTATTTCATATGATATTTGTAAAAAATAAATTATCTGTTTAAAAAGTGATTTTGATTTTTAAGATTTTATTTCATATTTTCTTTAATTTTGAACCACGATATACAGAATTATTTGCAATTGCATCCGTATCCAATTCCTTCATTAAGTTAACTTTGTCGTGTTTCTAGTTTGAGAAATTCAATGATTTTTTGTTAATAAACGGGTAAATATGAATGAGCTTGCTCACTACTGTTGTTCCAAAATTAAACATATCAATTAGACGAAGCACCAAAATTACAAACACCAAAATAAAACACATGCCTTTCGAGAGAAAATCGCCAAAATATCCCAACGCAAAAATTTCCCAATTTACGGTATTGTGAAACAGTCGTTTAATATTTTGGGAATATGCTTCTTTATTTAGGATGAATATAATATCAAATTTTTCTTTTTGCGAATTTTCCCTTTAATGTTACTTATATACATTTGAAAACATGAATTCTTTAGCTTTATGTTAACAGTTTGGCCAATCTAGATGGGAGGGTGATTTAATAGACTTTAAGGAGAATTATTGAGAAAGGCTTTTTCCATTAGTATTTGTCTAATGTGTCTTCATGTACACTTGTCTCTGATAAAACCATGCAAGTACAAAGGTTACAGAGAAGTTAAAAAATAATATACATAAAAATAAAAATGCATTAAAAAGGCATAAAATTTCAGATAAAAGAATATATATATATTTATACAGTGTATAAACTCCATATATATACTTGCCCCAACTGTTCAGGGTTCAACATCGTTGTTCGTATCAAGCTGTGCTCTGCTTAGTTATTTATATTAATTCATAATTTAAAGTGTTAAAATTTTCTGATTTATGCTGTAAAAGCAAATGAAAAATATAGATATATTTCTGAACTTAAGAGTTATGTTTTTGATCTTGTTTCGTGGATCTCGTGGGTGTTTCATGCATATTCTTTGCTTTCTTTGTGCAATTCATGTGTATGGGATTTGGAACATTACAGGTTTCAGGAGATGTAACAGTTATACTTAAAGTTATCATGATTAAAAGCATTTGTCACTTGAATTAGATATTTTTCAGGTAAAGAACAAAGGCCAGTATACGGAACAAGAAAAACGGAAAAGGAAACAACAGGAGGATTCAGAAAAGAGAGGAAAAAGGAGACGTTATAATGTCTCATATTCATCTTCTACTTCCTCTACACCAACTGAGTCTGTTGAACATAGGTGCTATTCTGAGGCACTGAAACAAAACCCACTCCAAACTGAAAAAAATATTAGACCTTGGATAGAGTTAGATGTTGGGAAGCATACCTTAGGACAGCATGCTGGAGAACTCTTGCTAGATCTGCACAACTACATGAAACGACATTCAGATGTAAAAAATGAAAAACCATCAACACTAACTATGCCTGGAATGATTATTGATAAAACAATGGTAAAACCTTAATGAATTATTTGTTTTGATAAAAACCAATATTAAGCCTTATTAATCCCAACTTTATTGCTGGGTTTACAGTGATCAAGATGTTTGTCTTTCCATCTGTTCGTCGGTCATACTTTTTTATCCTCAACTACTCCTGAAGCGCTTGATGGATTCTTATGACACTTTCAGGAAATGCTGTTGTGCAAGTGCTATTTCATTTTTATACGCCGGTTTACGGGACGTATTATGGTATACAGTTGACTGTCTGTCTGTCCGTCTGTCGTCAACATGTCAGACATTAACTCAAAAACGCTTTAACCAATATGCATGAAACTTCGGTGAATTGTTTATATCTATTGACATGAGCTCCCTTTCATTTTTTAGCTCACCTGGCCCAATAGGGCCAAGTGAGCTTTTCTCATCACTTGGCATCTGTCGTCTGTTGTCGTCGTTGTCCATTGTCGTCGTCCATTAACTTTTACAAAAATCTTCTCCTCTGAAACTACAGGGCCAAATAAAACCAAACTTGGCCTAAATCATCCTTAGGGTATTTAGTTTAAAAAATGTATGCGATGACCCTGCCCATCAACCAAGATGGCTGCCATGACTAAAAATAGAACATGGGGGTAAAATGCAGTTTTTATACGACCGCAAAAATTTTGCGGTCATATATTGGTATGACGTTGGCGTCGTCGTCGTCGTCTGAAGACACATTAGTTTTTTGCACTATAACTTTAGTTAAGTGAATGGATCTCTATGAAATTTTACCATAAAGTTCAATACCACAAAAGGAAGGTTTGGATTGATTTTGGGGGTTATGGTACCAACAGTTAAGGAATTAGGGGCCAAAAAGGGGCCAAAAATAAGCATTTTTGTAACTTCCAGACAATAACTTGTGTGTAAGTGTATGGATCTCTCTGACATTGTACCACAAGGTTCCATATCACAAAGGGAAGGCTGGAATTGATTTTGGGGGTAATTTCCTCAATATTTTAGGAATTAGGGGCCAAAAAAGGGGCAAAAACAAGCATTTTTCTAGTTTCATGACAATAACTTGTGTGTAAGTGTTTGGATATTTCTGAAATTGTACTACAAGGTTCCATATCACAAAGGGAAAGCTGGAAATGAGTTTGGGGGTAATTGCCCAAAACGTTTAGGAATTGGGGGCCAAAAAGGGGCCAAAAATAAGCATTTTTCTAGTTTCCAGACAATTACTTGTGTTCAAGTGTATGGATCTCTCTGAAATTGTACTGCAAGGTACCATACTACAAAGGGAAGGCTGGGATTGATGATGGGGGTAGTTGCCTCAATATTTTAGGAATTAGGGGCCAAAAAAGGGGCAAAAAACAAGCATTTTTCTAGTTTCAGAACAATAACTTGTGTGTAAGTGTATGGATCTTTCTGAAATTGTACTACAAGGTTCCATATCACAAAGGGAAAGCTGGGTTTGAGTTTGGGGGTAATTGCCCTAAACGTTTAGGAATGTGGGGCCAAAAAACACATTTTTCTAGTTTCCAGACAATAACTTGTGTTCAACTGTATGGATCTCTCTGAAATTGTACTGCAAGGTATCATACCACAAAGGGAAGGCTGGGATTGAGTTTGGGGGTGATGAATCATTAGGGGGTTCAAAAAATTTTGGGGGGGGGGATTTTTTTTTTTTCCTTTTTTTTCTTTTTTTCCTTTTTTTTTCTTTTAAAATTTTACATTTTAAGTTGGTTATTTCTGATTTATATTTAAAAGCAAATAATAATGATATGGTAAGAGATACACACCAAACAGGATGTGTAAATTTTTATATAATAAGTATTGTGCAATAGCAAGAAATTTTCAATTGCACAGTATTGCACAATAGCAAGAAATCTTCAATTGCACAGTACTGCGCAATAGCAAGAAATCTTCAATTGCACAGTATTGCGCAATAGCAAGAAATATCCAATAGCACAATATTGCGCAATAGCAAGAAATGTCAATTGTACAGTATTGTGCAATAGCAAGAAATATTCAATTGCACAGTATTGTGCAAAAGAAGATACTTTGTATAAATTGCTTATTTCTTGACCAATTTCAATGGGGTTTTTTTCTTGAATTCTTGGGGTTCTTTAATATGCTGAATCTAACTGTGTATTAAGTTTTTGGATTTTGGGCCCCGTTTTTAAATTGGTCCACATTGAGGTCCAAAGGGTCCAAAATTAAACTTTGTTTGATTTCATCAAAAATTGAATTATTGGGGTTCTTTGATATGCCGAATCTAACCATGTATTTAGAGTCTTAATTTTTGGTTCCATTTTCAAATTGGTCTACATTAAGGTCCAAAGGGTCCAAAATTAAACTTAGTTTGATTTTAACAAAAATTAAATTCTTAGGGTTCTTTGATATATGCTGAATCTAAATATGTATTTAGATTTTTGATTATGGGCCTAGTTTTTAAGTTGGTCCAAATCGGGGTCCAAAATTAAACTTTGTTTGATTTCAACAAAAATTGAATATATTGGGTTCTTTGATATGCTGAATCTAACCATGTATTTAGATTTTTGTCGAGCCTGCGACTTTTGTCGCAGAAAGCTCGACATAGGAATAGCGATCCGGCGGCGGCGGCGTTAGCTAACTTCTTAAAAGCTTTATATTTTAGAAGATGGAAGACCTGGATGCTTCATACTTTGTATATGGATGCCTCATGTTACGAAGTTTCCATCAGTCACATGTCCAATGTCCTTGACCTCATTTTCATGGTTCAGTGACTACTTGAAAAAAAAGTTCAGATTTTTTGTTATGTTAAATTCTCTCTTATTATAAGTAATAGGATAACTATATTTGGTATGTGCATACCTTGCAAGGTCCTCATGCCCGTCAGACAGTTTTCACTTGACCTCGACCTCATTTCATGGATCAGTGAACAAGGTTAAGTTTTCGTGGTCAAGTCCATATCTCAGATACTATAAGCAATAGGTCTAGTATATTCGGTGTATGGAAGGACTGTAAGGTGTACATGTCCAACTGGCAGGTGTCATCTGACCTTGACCTCATTTTCATGGTTCAGTGGTTATAGTTAAGTTTTTGTGTTTTGGTCTGTTTTTCTTATACTGTATGCAATAGGTCTACTATATTTGGTGTATGGAATGATTGTAAGGTGTACATGTCTAGCTGGCAGGTGTCATCTGACCTTGACCTCATTTTCATGGTTCAGTGGTCAAAGTTAAGTTTTTGAGTTTTGGTCTTTCTTTCTAATACTGCATGCAATAGGTCAGCTATATTTGGTGTATGGAATGATTGTAAGGTGTACATGTCTAGCTGGCAGGTGTCATCTTACCTTGACCTCATTTTCATGGTTCAGTGGTCAAAGTTAAGTTTTTGAGTTTTGGTCTTTTTTTCTAATACTATATGCAATAGTTCAACTATATTTGGTGTATGGAAATATTTTATGATCTATATGTCAGTCACGCAGGTTTTATTTGACCTTGACCTCATTTTCAAGGTTCATTGCTCAGTGTTAAGTTTTTGTGTTTTCGTCTGTTTTTCTTAAACTATAAGCAATAGGTCAACTATATTTGTTGTATGGAAGAATTGTTAGCTGTACATGCCTGCCTAGCATGGTTCATCTGACCTTGACCTCATTTTCATGGTTCATTGGTCAATGTTTAGTTTACTTGGTTAATGTTAAGTTTATGTGACAGTTGTAATAAAGCTTTATATTTAGAACTATCAACATAATATCAATGATTAGTAAAGAAGGCGAGACATTTCAGCGTGTGCACTCTTGTTGATTTTTGGGCCCCGTTATCAACTTTGCCTACATTTAGGTCAAAAGGGTCCAAAATTAAACTTTGTTTGATTTCATCAAAAATTGAATTCTTGGGGTTCTTTGATATGCTGAATCTAACCATGTATTTAGATTTTGGTCCAATTTAAAATTTTTAAGTTCTTAGACCACATTCATTCTGTGTCAGAAACCTATGCTGTGTCAAATTTTTTTTTTTTTTTTTTTTTTTTTTTTTTTCAGAGCTGTATCAAGCTTGAATGTTGTGTCCATACTTGCCCCAACTGTTCAGGGTTCGACCTCTGCAGTCGTATCAAGCTGCGCCCTGCGGAGCATTTTATTGTCTTATATCTCTGAAACTAAAGCATTTAGAGCAAATCTGACAGGGGTAAAAATGTTCATCAGCTGAAGGTCTATCTCTGCTGAAATTTTCAGACGCATCAGACAACCTGTTGTTGGGTTGCTGCCCCTGAATTGAAATTTTGCAGTTTATGGTTATTATCTTGAACATTATAATAGATAGAGATAAACTGTAAACAGCAAAATTGTTCAGCAAAGTAAGAGCTACAAATATGTACACATGACCAAAATTGTCAATTGACGTCATAAGGAGTTATTGCCCTTTAAATTCAATTTTTCACAATTTTTTTGTAATTTTTTGTTATCTTTTACAAAAATCTTCTCCTCTGAAACTACTAGACCAAATAAAACCAAAATTGGCCTAAATCATCCTTAGGGTATCTTGTTTAAACAATGTATCTATTGACCCTGCCCATCAACCAAGATGGCCACCATGGCTAAAAATAGAACATGGGGGTAAAATGCAGTTATTGGCTTATATCTCGGAAACTCAAGCATTTAGATCAAATCTGACATGGGGTAAAAATGTCCATCAGGTGAATTTCTATCTGGGCTGAAATTTTCAGACGCATCAGACAACCCGTTGTTGGGTTGCTGCCCCTGAATTGGTAATTTTAAGGAAATTATGCAGTTTTTATACGACCAAAAAATTTTGCGGTTGTTTATTGGTATCACGTCGTCGTCAGTGTCGTCTGAAGACATTTGGTTTCCGAACAATAACTTTAGTATAAGTAAATAGAAATCTATGAAATTTAAACACAAGGTTAATAACCACAAAAGGAAGGTTCGGATTGATTTTGGGGATATAGTCCAGACAGTTTAGGAATAAGGGGCCAAAAAGGGACCCAAATAAGCATTTTTCTAGTTTCCAGGCAATAACTTGTTGAATGGTGTATGGAACTCTCTGAAATTATACCACAAGTTTCCATACCACAAAGGGATGGTAAGAATTGGCTTTGGGGGTTTATGGCTCAAACCATTTAGGAATTAAGGGCAAAAAAGGGTGGAAAACAAGGGTGTCCTGGTTAATGGACAATTACTTTAGTACAAAACATAATTTAAAGCAGTGTAAGGGAGGTAATCCAAACACATCATGTGAATTAACTCCCTTACACTGCTTTTAAATTATTTATAAAGAAATGATGTATTGTCTTGAGGTGATTAGCTGTCAATTTATTTTTAGAAGTTACTATTTTAAAAATGCTGATGAAGGTAATTTAAAATTTAGCCATGATTATGTATATCATTTTCTATTTTAAGACTTTTATGATGTATTTAAATGGGTTATTATGGTCGCAAACTCCATTGGAAATTTGAATTTCACAAAAGCAAAAAAATGAATATAAATTCAAATCACATAACCAATTCAAGATCTTTGACTACAGTTATGCTGTGTCAGAAACTTATTATGTGTCAAATATTTAATTACAATCCAAATTCAGACCTGTATCAAGTGAGAATATTGTGTCCATTTTTGCCCCAACTGTTCAGGAGTGGACCTCTGCGGTCGTATCCAGCTGCGCTCGGCAAAGCAATTTATTAAAATTTTTACCAAACTTGCTTAGAAGCTGGTTAATGACCAAAATAAGGTATCCACAGGAAAGTTTAGGATTTTCTTTTTCTTCATTTTTCTTTTATTTCAATTATTTGGAACAAAATTTTATAATTGCATCTTCTATTTACATGCATTTTTATGCCCCTGCCGTAGCGGTGGGGGCATTAAGTTTTACCCTTGTCCCTCTGTAAGTAAGTACGTCCCAAAATTGGTTTTCGTTCTCTAACTTGAGTATGCCTCAACCAAATGTTATGAAACTTATACACAATACTTATTACCACAAAATACAGATCAAGTTTGAATTTTGGTGGCGTCACTTTAACCGTTCTAGAGTTATGCCCCTTTATAAATGGAAAAATTGCAAAATGTTTAGTTTCTGTTCTCTAACTTAAGTTTGCCTCAACTAAATTTTATGAAACTTATACACAATGCTTTTTACCACAAAACACAGCTCAAGTTTGAATTTTGGTGGGGTCACTTTAACCGTTCTAGAGTTATGCCCCTTTATAAATGGAAAGATTGCAAAATTTTAGGTTTCCATTCTTTAACTTAAGTTTGCCTCAACCAAATGTTATGAAACTTATACACAATGCTTATTACCACAAAACACAGATCAAGTTTGAATTTTGGTGGTGTTACTTTAACCATTCACGAGTTATGCCCCTTTATAAATGGAAAGATTGCAAAAATTTAGTTTCCATTCTGTAACTTAAGTTTGCCCCAACCAAACATTATGAAACCTATACACAATATTCATTACCACAAAACTAAGATCAAGTGCAAATTTTTTGTTTCTGTTTTCCTACTTTAGTTTGCCTCAACTAAATGTTATGAAACTTATACACAATGCTTATTACTACATAATACAGATTGAGTACGAAATTTGGTGGCGACACTTTTACCATTCTTGAGTTATGTCCCTTTATAAACATAAAAATTGCTGAATTTTTTGTTTCCGTTCTCTAACTTTAGTTTGTCTCAACCAAATGTTATAAAACTTATACACAACCATTCTAGATTTATGCGTGTTTACAAATTGAAAAATTGCTGAATTTTTAGTTTCTGTTCTCTACTTAAGTAAGCCTCAACCAAATGTTATGAGATTTACACACAATGCTTATTACCACAAAACTCAAGTTTCAAATTTGGGTAGCGTCACTTTTACCGTTCTTCAGTTATGTCCCTTTATAACTATATGATATGCAAGTGGGGGCATCATCTGTGTCCACATGTGGACACTATCCAAATTTATTATTGATGAATTAAGGGATAAATCATCAAGCAATGTAATAATTATCTTATTTATCATTTGTTCATTCAATAAATTTATGTTTCTACTCTTTTATGAATCTATAGACTTGATTGTATACTGTATTAAATTTGTTTACAAGTATAACATTTTTCATACATTTAAAACGTTTTATATCATTTACTGTAAATCTATTATGTACATTCCCCTATCACACTGAAAACATAGACAACAGCAAAAGTAGGCGAGACTAGGGTCAGCGGAACCCTTTCAAATTTTTTTAAGAGTGAAATCTACAACAGATCTGTCAAGCTTTGATTTATTGAGTTTCACAAAAGGACAACAATTTATTGCAAACATTCACATTTCTTATTTATGTCTTTACAGGTGTACATGACTCTTCTAGAAATGTCCTATCAGCATTATGAGAAACTTGCTGGGGCTGAACAGCTGACAAGTGAAGACAGAGCTACCATATATTATTCAGCACCTCATAGTATTTTTGACAAGGAGGATAGTTTCGTTTTATTCAATACTATGGTATACCTGAATAACATACAGTCAATTATGAAATGGGATAAATCAACATAATGTTGCTGTTGATGGTGGCAGTAGGCCAGAATTTCTTTTCACCTTTCCTACTTCCCCAGAAAAAAATGGTCCTTCCCTTCAAAAATATTGAAATTTCATGTCAACAGCTATTTTTATGCCTCAACCACATATATATGTTCCTGCTGATGATTTTGAAATCTTTAATGGGCCTTCAGGGTATAAGTCTATTTGATATATCAACAGAGAGATCGATTTATTGAGTTTTTAAATATCATACTTATTAGAGCCCCACATCTTGGATGTTGTAGCCTGATTGTTTTCACTTTTGTCTGTCTATTTGTCCATCTGTCGACAGATTTTGTGAGCATACAATCTCCAAAACTATAAAAAGAGTGAACTGAAATTTTGTACATTCAGTAATTACCATGTAAAGATATGCATTATAAGTTTTGGTCAAAATAAAAAAAATTTTTTCCCCAAAAAATTTTTATTTTATGAAATTCACAAATTTTGAGTATCAATATTGGTGTGCAAAATTTACAAATATACAAATGGGGAACTGAAAATTTTGTACATTTATGAATTACTTATAAAAATATTTATATTAAATTTTGGCAAAATTGAAAAAAAAATTATGAAGTCTTTTTTAGGGCCCTGCCACAAAATTTTTATTTTCTGAAAAGATGAATCTATTACCACATTTAAAGCTTTTTGATTCATGTGTTAAACCTATTTTATTATATAGCAGTGAAGTTTGGGCTACTGTTAGTATAGTGAAACAAAATACTACAATCGAGTCAAACTATCCAAACTTTAGTCCGAATAAGATTCAAATCATATTTGCTAAATTTTTATTGGGTGTAAATAAAGGTGCTGTTAATAATGCCATACTTTCTGAATTAGGTTTGTTCCCACTTTCATTGTCAGCCCTTAAAAATACAATTAATTTCTGGCTTCATATCATTAATATGAATAGTGAGAGTATGGTAAAGGAAGCATACAATGAAAACTTTAACTTGTCTAATGATTTTTGTAGTAAAATAAAAGTGTTGTTAGGTAAACTTGGTTTTCAGCATGTCTGGGAAAATCAAAATACTATGTCAAAGACAAAATTACTTTTTTCATTTCAAAAGAAATTAGAGGAGGAATTCATAAAATCCTGGAAACAAGCTCTATTTTGTGACTCTAATAAAGATAGTCATGGTAATAAACTAAGAACATATCGCAAAGTTAAAAATAATTTTGAATTAGAAAAATATATCCTTCTTGGACTGTAACAAAAGTGTTATTTCTAAAATGGTAAAAATCAGAATTAGTAATAGCAAATTACTAATAGAAGTTGGTAGATATACTAGAACACATTTAGAACAGAGAATTTGTCCACTTTGAAAGGATGGAATTGCAGATGAATTCCATTTCCTCATTAATTGTAAAGCGTTAGAATTTAATACAAATATACTCTTTTGTAATTTAAGTGATATAGTTCCATCTTTTGTTAATATGTCTGAACAAGATAAATTTAGTTTCATTTTGAAAAGTATTGATACTGACATTAGTACTGTATGTGTAGCTGGAATAAGCGATATGTTTGATTCGAACATTCATTTAAAGCAAACACAATGTTGTTAAGAACTGTTTTAGTATTAATGCTTATTGTAATAGCTTGAATTAATAATATAGTATGAATAACACCTCCAGGCAATGTAGATATAAAATATGTGTCTCTTATCATTGAGAAAATATGTCTCTGTATATTTGTCTTTTGTTTATTTTTGTCTATTTTCCTATTTGTATTTTGTAAAAAAAGAGACCAAATGACTCAGAAATTAACAACTATAGGTCACCGTACTGCCTTCAACAATAAGCAAAGCCCATATTGCATAGACGTTGCGCACGATGTTGGTACAATTTCCATTTTGCTATAGATTAGCATAAAAATAAATACGTAGACTAGTCAGTTCGATAAAAATATAGTGATTTCTGGTTGAATTCATTACATTAGATTTGAAAATAAAGAAAATAGGAACAGAAATTTAAAATGCCAAGAATTATAACACTTAATTATCCCATATATAAAAATATTGGGATCTTAGTTTTTTTTCATATTTGTTTTATTTAAGGAACGTTCTGGTTGAATTCATTACTTTAGATTTGAAAATAAAGAAAAAAGGAACCGAAGTTTAAAATACGAAGAATTATAACTCTTAATTATCCCATATATAAAAATATCGGGATCTTAGTTTTTTTTTTCATATTTGTTTTATTTAAGGAACGTTGTCTATCTGCAAGTTTTAAATCTCAAAAGCAACATGTATAATTTTTTTTTGTTTATAAAATAAAATAGAAATAAAACCATTGCTGGCAATTATAAGAGCTTATAACAAACAAAGGATAAGCATAATGCCACAAAAATACGGAAATGAGAAAAACATGAATCCCAAATGTAGATATTTGTATTTTGCGACAAAGAAAGCATCAGGAAATGATAAAATATAGAAAGGAAACCGAAACGGAAAGAAATGCAACAAAAGGAGTATGTATAAATATGCAAAAAAACGGAATATTAATTCAAAATCTAATTTATATTAAAAATAAATCTATGTAAATTTGGAAATTAATTTATGATTCATTAATGTATAATTCCTGCTACCAAAAGGAAAATTATCAATTAAAGCCTGGAAAGACTGACAACTCCTGTAAATGAATTTTCATTAAAAAAATATGTATACGACCACTTTGAGTTTTATTTGTAAAACATTACAACCGAAACTTTCAGCAGGATTTTTATACTTGAAGTACATATCAACTGTTCATCAAGAACAGAACAATTCAATATACATATGCCCAACCATAAGGAACATTAATGTGTATTGCCATCAAAACTTGCAACACCCTTTGTCTACTTGACGTATATATCAACTGTACCTCAAGTAAAGACCATTTCAATTTACATACACCCAATCCTAATGAAATTTAATGGGCATCACCATCAAATCTTTCGGCTGCCTTTATCAGTTCACATACACATCAACTCTACCTCAACTACAGATACATTCAATTTACGTACACCAAAATGTTATGATTATACAAACGAAGATGTAGTATCATTGCCAATGAGACAACTCTCCAAAAGAGACCAAATGACACAGAAATAAACAACTATAGGTCACTGAACGGCCTTCAACAATAAGCAAAGCCCATATCGCATAGTCAACCATAAAACGCCCCAAAATGACTAATGTGAAACAATTCAAACGAGAAATCTAACAGCCTAATTTATGTACAAAATAATTAACGAAAAATAAATATGTAACACAGCAACTGAAACGACAACCACTGAATTACAGGCCCCTGACTTGGGACATGCACATACAGAATGTGGCGGGGTTAAACGTGTAGGTAGGCGCCCAACCCTACTCCTAGTCCTGGGACACTGGTGCAACAAAACAATGCAAGAACTGTACAAAACCTCAAACAAAAAAAAATATGATCAACAGCAACAAACAACAACCACTCAATTACAGGCTTATGATTTGGGACAGGCACATTAATATGTACTACCAACAAAACTTTCGACAGACTTTTTCAACTTACAGTATGCATCAACTGTACCTCAAGTGCAGACCTATTCAATCTACATACGCCAAGCCTTAATGAACATTAATGTGTATCACCATCAAAACATTCGACATGCATTGTCTTCTTGACGTACACATCAACTGTGCCTCAAGTACAGACCAATTAAATCTACATACGCTTATACATAAAGAACCTTAATGTGTACAAAGACATATGTCTCTGATGTGTATTACCATCACCATTCGATAGGCTTTGTTTACTTGACGTTAACATCAACTGTATTTCAAGTACAGGCCACTTCAATCTACATACACCCAAACCTACTGAACATTAATGTGTTTTACAATCAAAACTTCCGAAAGACTTAGCCTACTTGACGTACATATCAACTTTACCTCAGGTACAGATCAATTCAATCTACATACAATCAAACACAATGAACATTTATATATGTATTACCATCACAACTTTCAATAGGCTTTGTCTACTTTAAGATCAACTGTATCTCAAGGACATACACCCAAACCTAATGAACATTAATGCGTATCAGCATCAAGACGTTCGACAGGCTTTTTCGACTTGACGTACATATCAAATATACCTCTAGTACAGACCAATTCAATCTACATAGACCCATTTTTTAAGGATCTTAATGTGTATTGCCATCAAAACTTTCGACAGGCTTTGTCTACTTGACGTACATATCAAATATACCTCTAGTACAGACCAATTCAATCTACATAGACCCATTTATAAAGGATCTTAATGTGTATTGCCATCAAAACTTTCGACAGGCTTTGTCTACTTGACGTACATATCAAATATACCTCTAGTACAGACCAATTCAATCTACATAGACCCATTTATAAAGGATCTTAATGTGTATTGCCATCAAAACTTTCGACAGGCTTTGTCTACTTGACATTGATACCAACTGTACCTCAAGTACAGACCAATTCAATCTACATACGCCCAAACCTTATCAACATTAATGTGTATTTCCCTCACAACTTTCGACAGGCTTTGTCTACTATAAGATCAACTGTATCTCAAGTACATATGCTATAACCTAATGAACATTAATGTGTATCAACATCAAACCTTTTGACAGGCTTTGTCGACTTGACGTTCACATCAACAGTACCCAGAGTACCGACAAATTCAATTTACAAACACCCAAACCTAATGGACATAAATTAAAAATTTCGACAGAGTTAGGCTACTTGACGTTAAAATCAACTTTTCCTCAAGTACCCAACAATTCAATTTACATAAACCCAAACCTTAAGACCAATAATGTGTATATTTATCAAACCTTTCGGCAGCCTTTGTCAACTTGACGTATAAATCAACTATAATACATCAAGTACACACCTATGCAATCTACATAAACCCAAATCTAATGAAGATTAATGTTTATTACCATCAAATCTTCTTCTTCTTCTTCTTCTTTTAGGTCAACAAGGCTTCAATACTGAAGAATACATGTTGTTGCGCATGCGTGATTGACAAAAATTTTTTTTTATATGAATTAATAAAAATATTTACTAACAATTTAAGTGTTCCAACAAGCTTTGTCTAATTGACGTAAAAATCAACTGTACCTTAAGTACAGACCAAATCAATCTACATACGCCCAAACTTAATGAACTTTAATGTTTATTAGGTTTAAAACTTTCGACAGGTTTGATCTATTGACATATACATCAATTGTACTTCAATTACAGACCAATTCAATCTACGTAAGCCCAAACATAATGCTTAATTTGTATTACAATCAAAACATTGGACAGGCTTTGTCTATTTGACGTTCAAATCAACTGTACCTTAAGTACAGACCAAATCAATCTACATATGCCAAAAAATTAATGAGCATTTATGTGTATTACCATCAAAACTTTTGAAAAGGTTAATATAAACACAAACATATATGTGGTATGATTGCCAATGAGACAACTCTCCGTGCATACAAGACCCAAAGCAGTGAGCATAAACAATTATAGGTCACAGTGCGGCCTTCAATGTTGAGCCTTGACTCACACCGCAAGGTAAGCTATAAATGGCCCCAAAAGTACTGGTGTGAAACAATTCAGACGGGACAAACTAACGACCAGATTTAAATATTAAAACAATAAACGAAAAACAAATAGTACACTCAGTAACAAGCGACAACAACTAAAATTACAGGCTCCTGACTTGGGACAGGTACATAATTACATTTCATATATATGCAGCGAAGTTAAACGTATTTGCTGGATCCAAACCCTCCTTCTAACCTGAAACAGTGGTGTTGCAGCACAACAGAATAACATATATTTAAAACTCTTTAACCAACCAATGAATAAACAGTTAAGATAACACAATAAACATACGGTTATAGGACATAACGAAGAAAATAATAAGGAATGAATAATAAAATCGGACAATAAACAATGTAAACATTAAAACAAAGTAAAGATCTGAGAATACTCGAAGCCAGCTATTGAAAGCTAGTTCAAAACCCAAAACAAATGATAGAGAAATCATGTGTTCTTCACTAAATATCAATCAATACACATCCATATAGGAGTTAGTGTATAGAGGTCATAACAGCCTGAGAAGACATGACATTGTACAAAGCCAAAATAGAAGTAAAGACAGGTTGTAGGACCGTATGGGTTCATAGTACTATAAAAACAAATATCTATAATAGTTATGTTACAAATATATAAAACAAATTTTAAAATAGGCGTGTCTGTGTATTTATACATCACAAAAAGTTCATTAACAAAAAATGTATCTAGTAGTGTTTTAATTTATTGATCGAGGCACAGTACTGTATACATAAAATATTTGCCTCGAGAGTTGCTAGCATACATTTGTATTGTCCATCTTTCCTTCTAATACTGCTCGTTTCGATACAAAGGTCCAGTCACTATAGTACGGAGAACAAGTCAGTTTGAGCTGCCCTAATCTCCATTTTCCGGTAGATAAAAATAATCCTGGTCCATGTTCGACACCACACTGTCTATGTCTTCCCATTGTTTCTTCAGTATATGGTCCAATTCTTCTTCTATGCCCCTCTATCAAAAGCTGCTTGTTACGGATTACTTTCGAAATCTGAATGTAAATATGTGTTTGATCTTGTACATGTTTAACGTCCGTCATGGAGCCCACAATCACTGTAAAAGAAAAACATTCGGATGTAAATCGTTATTTACATTGATACAGATCACAAATAAAAAAAAATATGGGACATTATTTCTTATATCCCAAAAACTAACATGATTTTTGTCTCGCTTGAGGGAGTCAAAAAGCGAGACATAGGTATGCTGTTTCCGGCGTCGGCGGCGGCGTCAACAATGTATTAGTTTGTAATTAGGTCTAGTTTACGGTGAACCACTAGTGGTAAGTTAAAGATATTTGGTTTGCAGTTGTATTAGTATTGGCACATCTCATTACCATGGAGATTATTTGGCCCCATCCCCTCAGTTATGGTCTATTGACTTTGAAATTTTTGCTTAGTTTTTGTCTCGCCTTGACGGAGTCAAATAGCGAGATATAGGTATGCTGTTTCCGGCTTGGGCGGCGGCGTCAACAATGTATTAGTTTGTGATTAGGTCTAGTTCATGGTGAACCACTAGTGGTAGGTCAATGATATTTGGTATGCAGTTGTATTAGCATTGGCACATCTCATTACCATGGAGATTGTTTAGCCCTGTACCTTCAGTCATGGTTCATTGACTTTGAATATTTGCATAACTTCCATGTTAAAGTATTGCAATTTTAATTTCAAGATTTGCATTATCAAAATAACAAATAGGCGAGACATATCTCTGTGTTAATAGTTTATTAACCGGATTTTCGAAGTAAAAATCGGTTATTGATTTTGTAGATATACGGCGGGCGGGCAGGCGGCTGCCAAACAGTGTCTCCACCATTACATGAAAACCCTTTGACGAAATTTAGATATGTTGTGTCCTGTGACTATATGAAGGTCAAGTTCAATTTTCACGATTTTAGCTCTTCTCATTGTTGAGTTATCACCCTTTTTGATGTCCAAAAGTGGTATTTATAATGTGTTTGAGTTATTTCTCTTTGTTCAGAAATGGTTAATTATATACATAAAGTTTGATTACACTAAGCCATATTGTTAATGTCTTATCTGACAATAAT